CCCCTCTTTTCTGCTGTCCCCCAGCCCCCCCTTTCCCCCTTCAGTCTCACCCTCCCGTTTCTAATTCCTCACCTATTCCCTATTCCCCCAACACCCCCAGCAGTCTCCTCATTCCAAGTCCCTGGGCTCCTTCGCTGCCCGGGCACTAGGGACAGTATGGGGAAGGGAGCGAAGCTCGCGGGAGTCTGGGGGCTAGGGGAGGAGCTCGAAGTGGGTGGCGTCCCAGAAGCTGACTCTGGGCTGTTGGGCTCCAACAGAACAGCTTCGACTCCAAGGACGCGCCGGGATCTGCGCATGCGGGCCTCGCGCCCGCCGCCGCCGCCGCCGCCGCCTACTACCCCTACGAGCCCGCGCTGGGCCAGTACGCTTACGACAGGTGAGGGACCCACCCTCCTCACTGCCACCCGAGCCCTGGCGCTCTGATGGCACCCCACCCCCACCCCGAGCGTCCGCAGGCCCCTCTGAAAGGGGGCAGGACTAGCGGCATTCCTTTCTTGGATCGTGCTGAGCTGACCAGGCCTCGGTCCCAGCCCGCCACCTGGCGAGCCCCTGGGGCCAGGTTAAAAGAGTCTCCAGTCTCCCACCCACCACCCCACGCCCCCAGCTGTCTAGACTCCCAAAGTCCTCGCTGTGCTGTGGTTTGGGGGAGCCTCGTCTTGCTGTCCAGGCATCTGATGCCTCCCTCCACCCCAAGAAGCGCAGCCCCTTCGGTGTGTCTGAGCCCAGCCCACCGCCCCTAGGGTGGGAACCTGAGGGCGCAAGTCCTTGCCCACTGGCAGACAGCATGTCTCATGTTCGAGGGGCAACAATTACATATTTAACTGCAGAAATGTCATGGCAGGCCTTCTGGGCTCATTCTCCCCTCCGCCGGCACTGAGGACCATTTCTGCCCATGGGCGTTACATAGTCTGGTCGAACACATGTAAGTCTATGTAGAACGACGGACACCTGGCTAGGCCTTGTGCTTGTGCCCACCCCTGACCTCTCTGGCTCAAGAAGGAGCCCAGGCTCCTTGTAAGTTTAATCAAATATAAACATTCTCTTTGCCCTTGAGCCAAAAGCAGCCCCCAGGAAAAGCGACGCAGGTCAGGACCTGGGTGCAAGCCAGATCTTACCACCATAAAC